TATACTTCATCTTACCTAAAGACGTGGTTAGCAAAGACCAAGGCGATTGAAAAGGTATATGGAAACTGAGAGGAGTCATACCAAGAACTTCCTCGCTACCTGAATGCACTCCAGACTTATTCTCTGGGTACTGTTTACATTCTGGAAACAGTGCCAGCATATGCCTCGGATAGTAGTCAACTCAACAGAAATAGAATATTCAGTCGAGTGTTTTGGGCTTTTCAACCTTGCATCACAGGGTTTACATCATGCAAACCAATTATACAAATTGATGGGACTTGGTTGTATGGGAAATACAAAGGCACGCTACTGATGGCAGTTGCACAAGATGGCAACAACAACATTTTCCCAATTGCCTTTGCCCTAGTCGAGGGGGAGACTGGTAGTGCTTGGAGCTTTTTTCTCAAAAATCTCCGAACACACGTGGCTCCTCAACCATATCTCTTTTTGATCTCTGATAGACATGCATCCATTGAAAGTGCATACAATAATCCTGCAAACGGTTGGCATGACCATCCTTCTACGTATGTCTATTGCGTTAGACATATCGTCCAAAATTTCACGAGGGAGATCAAAGATAAAACTCTTAGGAAAGCAGTTATGAATGCGGGATATGCATTGACACAACCTACGTTCAAATATTATCGCAACGAGATCCGTATGTCAAATCTGGAAGCCGGTAGGTGGATCGATAATATTCTGGTAGAAAAATGGACTAGGTCATACGACAATGGACAAAGATGGGGCCACATGACGACAAATCTAATTGAATCGATGAATGGGGTATTCAAAGGCATACGAAATCTCCCGGCCACTGCTTTGGTTAAATCAACATATTTTAGGATGGCTTCGTTATTTTCCAAAAGAGGTGAAATATGGAATGCTGTGTTGCAATCTGGACAACTATGGAGTGAAAGCTACATGAAGTACATTAAGGCAGAAAGTGCCAAAGCCAACACCCATCTGGTTATACGGTTTGATCGACACAGCCACAACTTCATTGTCAAAGAGACAATCGACCACAACGAGGGTCTGCCAAGACAAGAATATAGGGTTGTACTACCTTCTCGTTGGTGCAATTGTGGCAAGTTTCAAGCCTTTCGCATACTTGCTCTCATGTCATTGCCGCGTGTGTCTATACTCATCAAGACGTGCTACAAATTCTGCCTCCCATTTACAAATTTGAAACGTTGCTCAACGTTTACAACAACAACTTTCCTTTGGTAGCAAAACCAGGTTATTGGCCTGCATACGACGGCGAAATAGTATGGCACAATGACCAAAGAAGGAATAAAAAGGGTCATCCCAAAAGTAAGCGCATCACAACCAAAATGGACTCCCTTGACAAGCTGGAAAGAAAGTGTGGTTTATGTCGTCATGTCGGACACAATCGCAAAAATTGTCCGAATCGGGCTACTGCCTCAACCACATAAAATTGTATTACAAATAATCTTTCCTTTATTATGTTGTAAACATTAAGGTTTTTCGTTAAGAGTATTTGTTACAATAAACATTGCGCGAACAATAAATAAAACACGATAAATCGTCTACGAAATTACAACCGTTAAAACAATTTCATCTGACTTATGCATCATCAACATTATGTCGCTGTCTGTTTTGACTTCCTCCAACCAAAAATTAGGTATTCCTGTCACAAGTGAGGTTGTTGTTCGTCTTCGCTGGATCCTTCTAATTTTTTCCCCTCCACGATGTCTCCCTCTAGCCATCGCATCAACTCCCTCTTCAGACGCTCCATGGAGTGAATGTGCCAGAATTTCATTTTCATCAGAGGTTTTGTGGCGGAGAAAATAACGTAACCATCTCTGGTAAAAATCATGGGCGATGTGATGATGCAAATAACAGAGTAAAAAATAAGAGAACAGTGCAAGAAAGTGTGAGGAATGACGGAGAAACAGACGAATTATTTATAAAAATAACATTTGCACTAGGAGCCAAGTGAGATGGCGCCTCCTCTCACTTTTAAAGTGCATGTGCCATCTCACTTGGCTAAAAGAGAGAGGATGCGTTAAGTGGGATATCGCTTAGGACAAGAATGGGAGTGGATGCGCCAACTGGATTGGCTCCTCCCTTGTGGGATTTTCTGAAACATGATTATTTGCGTAATTTTCTCCGAAATACGGTTATTTGCGATTTTTTTTAATACATGATTATTTCAAAAAAAAATTCTCATTTGGTTTGTATGCATTTTAACTGAATATTTTACTTATGGATTTTTATTTTGATTTTTTGTTGACAATATTAAATTATGTGTTTTGGTTTTACAAAAGTCTCTATTTTTTCACATTTCTCAACTTGAACAATTGAAATTTTGAACCTTTTGCAATTTCTCATTTTAAATAAATTTTTGTTATTTAAATTCATTATCATGTTTAAATATTTTTAATATGTTTCGTCTTCTTCTTTTGCAAGTATTGTGTTATTTAATCTACTATTATGTTTAACTATTCTTAATTTTTTTCTTTCTGAATTTTCTATTATGGTTGATTGTTTCTTGGTTCTGATTTTATATTTGATGTGTCGTAAAATTTAATGTTCAAAACAAATGTTAATACAACAAATTACACTCATACTCTTCCCCATAAGATATCCGTAACAACTTTTCAGTTCTGACAAACTAGGCATGACTTATAATCTCCAATTTTGTTTCTCATTTATTTATTATATTTAATAATGTTAAAAAAATTTATTCAATAACTTTTAATTACTATCATTATCATTATTATATTCTTTTTTAATAATGTGTCATAAATAAAATTTAATACATATTAAAAATATTAAATTATTAGACTACAAAATTTGTAATTAATTTTTTCTATTACGTATTTCAAATAAGTCAAATTGTATATTTTCAAAATTCTCAAAAAAAGACAAAATTTTATTTTATTTATGTAACCTTTTTTATTTAGATAGGATTTAAAAAATTAATTTTTGTTTAATTATTTTATTTGTGAAAAACTCATCTTATATGTGTTTATTTTAAATGTTTTTTGTTATTTTATTTTAAAGAATGTCAATTCAAAAAAATTTATAAAAGAAAGTTTAGATAAATTTTTTCACTTATCATATTCAGTTTTATCACTAAATTTTTCCACAAATCATGTTCAATTTTATCATTAGAGTCTCGCCTATACTTTATTTTTTCAACTCTACTAAAAATCTAAAATCTTAAAAAGTAATTTATTAATACATTAAAGTAAAATATTAATTGTAATATCTTTTGCAGTACAATTTTTCAAGAACTATAATTTTGTATTAAATTTTATAATTATGATAAAATTTAATATTATTTAATTCCATTTATATTATACAACACTTATTACAAGAGTATAATTTTTGTGTAATTAATGTAAATATAATAAAATTTACCGTTTATATAATAATTTTTAAAAAAATGATTATTAGTTTTAATTAATATTTTAAAACTTTCTTTTAGTCTAAAATTTGATTGAATATTGACTTTATGTAAATTGTCGTCAGTATGTAGCATATATAATTTTTTTTAGTTTTAATCATTTTTTGCTCAACATAAATCTTATTCAAATATTGATACAAAAATATAATATTTATTTTTACAAACAGAAAAAATATAAGATTGATAGAAATATTTTTATATGTAGAAATAAATTTATTAATGATATAATATTTTTCAGGTGATTTATTTTTATACATGAGAAAAAATTTATAATTGTTCAAAATATTTTTATAAATGTTGTCAACATAAAAATAATGTTTCTATACGGAAATATTATACTTTTGGTTAACCTATTAATTTAAATACATTATTGATCTAAATAGTTTGATATACGAAAATTTTTGATTTAGATATTTTTGTAAATAATACCTAAACAAAAATAATATTTGTATACAGAAAAAATATAGTATTGATCTAAATATTTTTATATACGAAAAATAGTATTGATGATCCAAAAATAATATATGAAAATACAATTTATGATTTTTTTTAAATTTTATTTTTGTAACCAATTTTTGCATTTGTTTATTTCTAAACTATTTTAATTTATGTAATTTTTTTATACTTATATTACTACTAAATAAATTATTAGTTTCCTAACATAACTTTTTCACTTCACATATCATTGCTTATTAATTTATTATTAAATTATTTTTTTATTGTATTTTACAACTACTTCATACATTTTTAATTTTTTTTCTATATTACATTATTAATAAATTTATTTATTTGTCTTATTATATTTGAGAAAGAAATGCGCGTAACACCATAATATTCATACAAACGCGCGAGTAATACACTAGTATCCGTACGAATACAGATATCAAAATCAAATTCCGTACGAACGTACAAATTATTACTTAATTCACATTCTATTACGTATTTCAAATAAATCAAATTGTATATCTTCAAAATTCTAAAAAAAAGACAAAATTTAATTTTATTTATGTAACCTTTTTTATTTAGATAGGATTTAAAACATTAATTTTTGTTTAATTATTTTATTTGTGAAAAACTCATCTTATATGTGTTTATTTTAAATGTTTTTTGTTATTTTATTTTAAAGAATGTCAATTCAAAAAAAATTATAAAAGAAAGTTTAGATAAATTTTTTCACTTATCATGTTCAATTTTATCATTAAATTTTTTCACAAATCATGTTCAATTTTATCATTAAATTTTTTCACAAATCATGTTCAATTTTATCATTAAATTTTTTCACAAATCATGTTCAATTTTATCATTAGAGTCTGGCCTATATTTTATTTTTTCAACTCTACTAAAAATCTAAAATCTTAAAAAGTAATTTATTAATAAATTAAAATAAAAACCGTATAAAATATCTATTTACTTTTTTAGGAGTAATTATTTGGACTTAAACCCTAAACAAAACCAGAAACAGTGAGAAACTCATTCATATTTTGAATTTCTTGTTCTTTTAGGGTTTCCTTCACGTCTAACGATGCATTTATGTTACGTGTACTCACTCAGGTTTTGTTAGGCAACTATGGATGCCAAGATAGACACAGCAGAAAAGAAGGTAACTTTTTTGTTATAACTTTTTTTTCTCAATCCAGCGAGTTCATTCTTTCATGTGCGCGCAGGTGCTGGTTGATATTGTAAAATTGGCACAACAAAAAGGCATGAAGGGTAAACTGGGAGGCTGGAAAGAATTCTTGAACAATCATGATAAGAAATTTGGAGCATCTTTGAGTGATCCATCAAAGAGGTCCCATGAGGTTTTGGCTGAATTTCTCAAGACATTCTCAACTGATGAGGATTTAAAGGTAATCATTTTTCAATATATTTATATCTTTTCCTAAATATAATGTTAATAGCCCATATGATGAGTCTTACCGTTTTTCTTGTGCTCAGTTTTTTTATAACATCTTGCCGTATTCTTCAAAACATGATTCCCCTGAGCAGGTATGTTTTCAAACATTCTGTATAATTGCCTGATTTAGCAATGACATCGTCTAATATTACATTCGGCTGCCAAATAGTAATTAATCTTCTTTTATTCATGATTCTACTATGTTTTTCTAACCTTAAACGTTGGAGCGCAGTGTCTAGTCCAAGCAACTCGCCAGCACCCTCGGCACTCAAAGGATTATTCATTGCCATTTACTGACAAGGTCTGTTATGATTATCTGTTCTCAAAGTTTCTGGTCAATTGTTAACTAGTCCTTGTTGAGGTTATGCGCACTGCTTAAATGTGAATTGCTCGGCTTGTGAAATACTCTTAAATATGTGCATTGGTTTGGAGAGATAACTTGGAAATCTAGAATACAATTAACAACAAATATTAGGGAAAATAGGAAATGAAATAAGGAAATTTGAGTTCAAAGATTTACAATTTATTATTTCTTGATCCGTGTGTCCCCTTAAATATAAATAAATATGGAACATAGGCGTAGTTTATTAAGGTTTGTGTGTGCAAGGCCGTGCTTAATTTTACTTTGCAATATGCTACGGTCGTTGTACTTGTTTTATCATTTGGTCATGTTTAGAATTGAGGTTTTTTTATCATCCTTACACTTTTTTACCATTTGCTTTAGTTTAGTTTATTTGTTCAGCAATGGTCTGCTACAATTTATAAACATGTGGGTTATGTTAGATTTCAGTCAAACAAGGCAGTTTATTCATTAACTATGTTGGCTTTTTTGTGGAAAATGAAGGGATGGCTAGTGATAAACATTAAAAAGAAGTCCAAGGGGATAAGATCTACTACAATGTTTGCTGTTGATTGTGAAATGGTTCTTTGCGAAGATGGGACTGAAGCATTAGTCGAAGTTTGTATTGTAGATCACAATTTAGAGGTGATAATTTGTGCCAGTTCCTCCTTTTACTTGGTCACTCTCGTCAATCCCCTTCTTCCCTACCTGCTCTAAGATTGAGTTTTATGTAAGATTGATAATTTTAGAACTTTTCAGGTCAAATTACACGAACTTGTTAAACCGGAGAAAGCAATCAAAGATTACAGAACAGAGATTACTGGTGTCTCTTCTAAAGATCTAGAGACTGTGACTCGCTCCTTAGCTGATATACAAGTAATTTTGTGGTTCATTTTGTGGTTTTCCTGTATCGTCTTTTCAAATGCTTAATGAAGAAATCTGTTGTACTTTCGTAGAAATTGATGAAGAAGTGGTTATCCAGTGGAGCCATATTAGTGGGACACAGTTTGTATAATGATCTACGCGGTAAGTGTCGTGTACATTTTATTTATCTTTGTCCTTGAATGACCCACTTCTAGTTTCTGTGTATACGAATGGCCGGAGTTCCGCTGCATCATTTTACTAATTGCAGTCATTTGCAGTGCTGAAGCTATATTATGATAGAGTGGTCGACACTGCATACATCTTCCAACCCATGGATGGAGCTACTCACAGGAGACCTTCTTTAAATAGTTTGTGTCAGGCAAGTAACAACTTATTTAAATGCAATGCAATGACTATGATTTTGTATTAAACACCATCTATTTTATGAAGTATTATTAGTTGTATCCATAGTTACTCCTTTGAAGGAATTTCCTCAAGACTTTGGTGTTTTAAATGAAGAATGTTTATGGTGCAATTTTGCTTGTCTATGCTTTGGAATTTAAAATATTATACTGGACAATTGACAGGCGGTGTTGGGCCACGAAGTTCGGAAAAAGGGTGCTCCACATGATTGTCAAGATGATGCATGTGCAACAATGAAACTTGTTCTTGCAAAGATCAAACATGGCGTTGATAAGCCATTTCCATTAACATTGGTATTGTATACATTTTTAGAACTGAGGTGTTGTTATTATACTCACGGTGGTTAGTTACTTTGTTTATCACTGTTTTCTGTTGTCTCATTTTAGGTTTCAGGAAGTGAGACGTCGAAGCTGCTTATTCACAGAATACCAACCACTGTGACCAGTGAAACACTACACGAAATTGTTCCTGGAGACTTCACACTAGAACAAAGGGTATAGTATATTAGTATGCCTTATCAATATCCTTTAATTTGAAATTTGAGAAAAAGAGTCATCGAATATTATTGGAATAAAATGAATGCCTTTAATTTGAGGACTTTTAGATTTGTTATGTGGTATTCATGTTGAAATTCAATCACCTGACTATTTTCCTTGTTTTAGTTCTGATCAATTGTAAAATTTGTTGCAGCCTGCAAAAAGTGGTAACATTGACATGTATTCTGCCATAGCTATCTTTAAGAGCCAACGAGAGGCACACGAGGCATATGAAGATATCCAAGGAAGCCAAAGAACGGTACATATACTAAATATCAATATTTATTTATCCTACTTCCTTTTTTCTAATATAAATATTAAATGTTATGTAAATCTCCTTCTAAAATCTGGTGCCAAAATAACTTATCTAATGTCTGATGTCTGTTCAACAAAATGGATATACATTATATGAAATTTTTTATAATAAATTGATGTTAGTTTATATGACTGAAATATAAGTATATTATTGTTAGGATTCAAATGGGCTTCGACAGAAACGCGTAAAATGTCAGCTGAGTACGGGTATAAATGTCAGTGTATTTGTTCGGAAAATGAGAATTGATAATCACCGTAAGAGAGATTTACAAGATGATACACTTGACACTTCCAAGAACAAGAAATTAAAAAAAGATGTTGCTCTGAAAGCTTTATCAGCGAAAGAAGACTCACTTGAAGGAGATCGAAGTATGATTGAAAGAAAGTGAAATGGAGATTTAATCAATGAAGGAACAAATGGAGATTCAATCAATGTTGTTTATGTGAACATTCATCAATAACCTTTATGAAACTATACTATTGTTTGAAATGTAATTTTCTTTTACTAAATATAATTTATTTAGTTGGTATGATTTCACCTTTTAGTTGGGCAGAGTTTATAGGTTCCTTGTATGGTGCAAACTATATATAAAATTTTTTAATGAAATTTTTCATATAAGGCTTAAATGAAAATTTGGTTTGGATAATTATTTTTAAAATATTTAGATATTTTATCTGATTTTTTTTAATATTAAAACTTCAAAGAATCATTTAACTCTAGATCAGCGGCATTGTTTAATAAATAATAATTTAAATTAAAATAATATTAAAATTGTTTCTCTGATAACAAATTTATAATTTATAACCAAAAACTTTATTAAATTAACAACTTATTTTGAATAGTAAACATGATAAAGAAAATAGATATTTTATTAAATCTAAATTAATTATATAATTGTCCTATTTTTATTTTATTTTCTAAGCAAAGAAAGAGATGCATAGGGACTCCAACTCTAATTAGAATTAAAATAAAAAAAAAGGTACCCAATCAAAGTCCTTTAATAGTTAACAAACATAAAATTTGGATAACCAAAATTATTTTCAGTATAATTTTCTATATTAAGGGATTATTTTGTCCATCCTAATTCTAGGGTGACCATACTAAAAATCCAATTTTATCCTTTATATAATATTTATTATTATAAAATGCAGATTTTTTTTAAATAATTTTTTTTAATTTTTTTTTAAATAATCACTTTTTCAAAAAAAAAAATTAAAGTAATTATTTTTCAAACAAAAAAAAATTCGCCACACAGAGGTTTAGCCACGCTGTGGCGCATGCATGTAAATTAGAGAGGAGACGTCACACTGTATAATTTATCCTCCTATATAGTGTCACGCAGTGTGACACATACATGTAATTTTAAGGAGGAGACACCATATTAGATGACTTGACAGTTGTTGTCATTAATTTTTTTTAAATAGTAATAAAAGTAATTAAAAATATTTTATATTAATATTTTAAATTACACAATGCATAGATACATATTTTTACGGACGTCCCCCTCAACCTAAGTGTGTCTTAAACGCCCCCGCATTTGTCTCACCCCTTGTCTCACCACTCTCTGTTAAATTCTCGAAGTATTTGGGGTCTGTTCTGACTCACTTGATGATGAGGTGCTTGATGTGATGGTCCTGGTACATTAGAATCATACATTTCCTCGATCATTTCTCTCCACTGTGTTGTGCTTCCAAAGAGATAAATGCCCATGTTGTTGAAGTTTGGTCTTGTTGGTTGGGATATGTGTGGGTTGGGTGGTTGATAGAATTGAGATGTTGAATTGTTTTGGAAACGAAGCAACGATTCTTTAGGTGTCTGAAATCAGTATGATGGTTGGGTACTTCGATGGTGTGATGTTTGATTGTATGTAGGTTGGGTGGTATAGTAGGAAGGAGAGGTATCATATGTGTCTTTGGTGTTGTGGTAGGATGTGAAGGGTGCATACTGTTGGTGGTGGGTTGGGTCATGCTCTTGGTATTGTGTTTGTGTGTGTGACATGAATTGATGACGGGTTTAGTTGGATGTGGTGGTGTATGGTTGTTGGGTTTGAGTTAGTTGACATTGTTGTTGGGTTTGGTATTGTTGAGGGGTTAGATGTTGGGGTTATTGTTGGACGTATGATGCAGCTCTTTGGCGTGGGTCGATCAAATATGTTTCATGAGACTGAAACAAATTTGTTGAAATCAATGTGTACCATGTCAAATATTGGAGAGTTGATTTTAAGTCATCTTGCGACATCGGCTCCCTTAGGACTAATTCACGTTGGTGCCTCCATTGACGACATTGATTTCTAGCGAAGTCTCTCAAATAATTAAATCTCTATTGGTCATCAACTCTGAGTAGATGACATTGTCCCAAACACGTAGGGGGTCTGGGATACCCTGTTGCATGCCAAACTGTAGCTCCACACAATCAATGTGGTGCATATCCACAGTAGTGAACCTGATGAGCGCTATTTTTACAGTTCAGACTTCAACATCTACTGGGTTAATCTCATGGTCGAGATCCTTATATGGCCTCCATACAAACTGTAGAGGAAAAAGAGTGTTAATATAATATTAATATTAAACTTAATTAACATACTGAAAGTGTTGTATAAAATATGTAAGCTTAATACCTCTTCGGTCCAACATGATCAATAAGATTTTGGTAGACTACTATTGTGTTTCTAGGGGATTTATTATAATTCATCCCAGGAACAACCCACCTACATAGAAAATATGGGTAATAAATTAATACATATTGGTTATAGTATATAGTATGTAAAATTGATGTTGTCGTAATCTTACTTTATAGCAAAGGGGAAGACGAATAACCTTGTGTTGCAGGGGGCGAGTGTCGGCATTCTCGACCAGCACCATGTCTGGAGCAAAAAGACACAGGAATTGAAAGAATAATTTTCGTTCAATGCGTTTTCACACAAAGAACTATACAAATGGGCCAATACAGCATAGCCCCAACTATATGTGTTTATTTTATCAAAATATCTTAACAAAGGTAAATACATGATATTAGTATTACTTGTTATTTCAGGAAATAAAAAGTGACCAAATAATATCATTATGTAACACCGAGCTTTCACATACCTCAACATATGGATCATTCAAAATATTATAGTATTGTTGCTCATATTAACAGTGAGACGTTCAACCGCGACAACTTCGATTTTAATTTTCGTAATACCGATTTTATCCGCTTTAGGACAAACAAGAAATCAAGTTTTGCATGTTTCATAGATAGAATAGAAGCAAAATTGCAATATGGTCCAATTTACCAAATTCTTTATAAGTCTCCATTTCTATTTGACGACAACCAAGTCAGATTTTTTCAACTAAAGATGCGCGACAATGATGATGTTCAAAACATATTTCGAACTCATGAATAATTCGGGTTCAGTGAGACTGAGTTGTATGTTTTATTACAATAACCTGATCAATCTCAGGTGGTAGATCCTTCTCAAGATTTTGAAGAAGAGGATGAATCTAACAAGGACAACCACCCCAAAGTCGATGTTATTGACCAAGAAGAAGAAGATGATGATGCAATGACTGATTTTATGGTTAATGATGAGCTGCAGATCAAGAGCATGAACCTCTACCTACGAGTCATGCGTACGACCCTCCATTTCACATGACTAACTTGAATTTAGGGGAAGACGAATCAGCCTCATATATCTTTCACAATCCTTATATGCAGACTGAAGGGGCCTTGAAAGTTGGAGACAGACACATGGAAATTTTAGTTGACTTCACTATAGATCGAACTAATTCATGGAGGTACATTATTTTATGTCGTCAAAAACCAATTCACCCTTTTTCGGTTAATTGCATCTTACAGGAAGAGAAGTGATTCGTAGGAAATATGCATCATTTATACACAATCAACATATTATATTACAAACTCAATCTTGAATGTGTCATCTTCTTCTTCCTCGCGCCAGCTTCCATGGATAAGCTTTTTGAATTTGTAACTTCTTCATCTCTCAACCATTTGCAAAAGTACATACATGAAACTTGCTCCATTTTTTTTACCATGATTCCAACCATATAAATTTCATAAACTATAAATCAAAGATGAGTGAGAATTTTGTTTGGCCCCAAAATAAAACCTAACTTTTCTAGATTTTCAGTTCTAAAATTCTCAACACATGGTTTATAAAAATGAAATGTAAGCATATGGTTAGCTTCAGAGCAATGATATCTACATTTTATCGTCACAAATGAACCACTAATGATGCTTGTATGAAGAGTTCAAAGTCAAGAAAACTTACCTTGAAACTGAAATTCGTGTTTTGATTTAGAGCACCTTTCAAGGTGTTGTGATAATCAAAATAGCTTCAGTGAATCTCCAGGAAGCTAATGCAATGATTACTTTGGATTGAGGATGGCTGAATCATACTGGAGAATTCAATGTGCAGCACACTGTTTTTGGTTATGGAGGATAGTGAAGATGGAGTTACAATTGTGTAACAGGTGCTGGGATGGGTTATATTTGATGTGAGGAAGCTTTAGAACTGATTTGGAGAAGAAACGCATGAAAGGTTTATGAGATGGAAGTTCTTGGGTAGAACTGTGGTAAAAGTGGAGTTTTTGTGCAATTTCTGGTTTGAATGAGTTTGAGGGAGTTTTAATGCATGTTTCTTCGTGTGTTAGGCTGCATAATAATGCCTCAATTTATAGGAAAAAGTTTGAGAGCTTGAGGTGGTCAGAAGTACAAGATCACATGTTTTAGTTCCTTGACTTGTTTTTGAAGAAAGCTTGACAAGCATTGTTCCAAGGCATGGTACAAGGCTATCTAGAGCGGTTACAAGCTTTAAACATGTTTATCTGACTTTGTATGTTGAGTGTATGCTGAACAAACAAGTTAGAAGCTCACGACAAGTTGACTTTGTGATTAAATCAACTTTTCAAGAATAATAATGGTGACTTTCTTCCTAAAATGGCAATGTGGCTTGAACAATGGCTTAATTGCTTGGAAAATGGCTCAATATGTTGTGTAAACATTAAATTAAGGAGTGAAACACAAGTTAGAAGCCTTCAAAGTTAGATTATGCAGCATAGGTTTGAGATTTGATCAAATGTTCTTCAAGAAAATGACCTATAATTCAAGTTTATGAGGCCATCTTCATCTCTTCGAAAATTCTAGCTCAAGCATGATCTCTTCAAGTTCTTGGACATTTTGGAAAGCTTGAAACATACTATACAACCTTCATGTTGACCATTTTTACAAAGCCATCTTGGAGCTTGGTGAAAATTGGCCAAGAAGTTAGGTCAAAAATCTGCCTAAACTAGGTCAAATTTTCACCAAGTGTTTTTAGAAAAAGTGCACGACTTCATGAATTTATAACTCAAAATCCAAGCACTTATAGGACTTGGTTAGTAAAGAAAA